GAATTCCCCAGCCAGCGAATGCTGGCTGGGGAATTCTGGGAGTTGAAGTCCGGACATCTTCAAGTGGCCAAGGTTGAGAAACACTGGCTTAGAGGCAATCAATAGATGATCAAAACACAACACGAACACCACACTAAAGAATAAAACGAAAGTAAGTTTGTAATGGAACAAAAGTATTACAGAAACATTGTTCATGGGTAACAATAAAAAGGCTAATTAATACCAAATATTTAAAACAGCAGTTTTATGCTTTTTGATTTGTAACCACTTTGATACAACTCCTTCATTGTTTTCCCAAAGGGGTAAAAGTCTGTTATAGGTGGTAATTCAAAACAGAATGACCTGATCTAGTTAATCTGATGAGTTTAGTATGGGGAAAAAAGTTTTGCATGATCTAATGCACTGTGCTGAATTTTTTTAAAGAAATTAATTTGCGATTATCAACTGCACAGGGTGTGTTCCTTTCTCTGTGGGGAAGCAATTAATATATATATATTTTAGAAGGGCTGTACAATTTGGCAACGAATAAATTGAGAAAGGATTTATTTATTATTTGCATGTATAATAACGAAAAAGAACAAGCAAGAGTACATTGGATTTTGACCAATATATGTGAACGCAGCCAACGAAAAGAACAAAAGATGGGTGACTTATATACCGTATATTTGAACAATAAATAATATATAAATAAAAGCTAGAATAAGATGGTTAGTGTTAAACGAGATTTTAACACAGGGCCAAAACTGGGGGTTACAAATCAGAACATTTCGTCCTCAGCTAGTGCATAAAACCGTTGATTAAATTAGTTAAAAGGACAACAGTGTGCCGGCCTGAACAAAGCTAAATGCTGACGGAGAATATAAATCTTCTTTTAATTAGAATATAATTCACATGAACCACTAGAGGGCAACGTTTTCTCACCTACATTGATCCACGCCTAGCAAGAAGGCTTAGCAATTGGACAAGATTTAACAACAGAAAATAAGAGCCTCATCGACCTTCAAAATCCATCCGGAGGGGGGAAAAAAGGACATCTCTTGCCTTCCAACTGAGATAATACAGAAGGAGCATGAAAGAGCCTGCCCCTCCCTTTTCACTTATGTTTTTTTAAAAATTAAATTTTAATAAACCAAGCTATCTAATAAAAGAAGCTTGCTCCTGGGGAGGAAAGCTAGGGCAAATCTAGAGAGCATCCTAAAAAGCAGAGACATCATCCTGTCAACGAAAGTGTGTCTAGTCAAGGCTGTGGTTTTCCCAATTGCAATGGGTGGCTGTGAAAGTTGGACCATAAGGAAGGTTGAGCACCAAAGAATGGAGGCCTT